ATCCAGACAGGGAGAGCGACTGTGTGCTGAAGACCTGGGGGGTACGGGGGAAGGGTTGCATGGAGGGGATTGTAACCATGGCAATGAGAGGATATATGATAGAATGAATGTAAAACTAATGTTCTCCCATGTAAACTATCACATAATTCACAATAATACATTTAAGAAAAAACAAACAAACAAAAAAAACTTACCTGTTACTGTTTCTCTCCTTTCTCCTACAGGGTCTGCTGACATGGCCAGAAAGGCTCTAAAGCTGGCTTCCTGGACTAGCGTGGCTCTTGCCGCCTCTGGCTTCTACCTCTATGGTAACAAGTACTTGGACCTTAATGACTTTGGTGCTGTCAGGGTGGGCAGAGCAGTTGCTACGGTAGGTTTTTCTTCTTCTGGGGAGCCACAGTATTGCTTGTGTGGGTTCCCCATGTGGCAGCTGGATATGCTGTTTGCACAGATGTGGAGAGTTGTGTGTATTCTCACATGTGGGAAAGCTCCCCGTACACAGTTTTGCACAGGCATGGATGCACACACTCATATACCTGCATTCTGTGACACAACCTCTGAAATTAGATACAGTGGGTTGCCTCAGGGAGGCCTTCTGAAGCCTGTCTGTTTTGAATTCTGTGTCTCCTTGTAGTGGTGGGCTCTGAGGGGTGGTGCTCCCCTGCAGGCGTGTATAGAGGAGGACTCCGCAGCTTTGATTCATTTCCACTAGCAAAACTGACCTCTCTCTAATGAACTTGTGTGATGGTGCCAGTAAAAATGACATGTGGGGTGCCTGACCTGCTCTAGCTTCACTATGGGCCAGGAGAATCAAGAGCCAGGCTGATTGCCACGAGGAGGAAGTCAGACTCACCTCCTCTCTAACCTTATTACCAGTTCTGACACCAGTCCCGTGCTTCCATGGCACTCTGGGATCTGATCATTTGTCACAGTGGCCACACTGAACTCTGACAAAACTCATGGTTATGGTGCTTACTAGGGAAGTCATCACCCCAATGAATCAGGGTTTTTAGTCAGCACTTCTTAAGGGCCTCTCGGTCCCTGGACACAGCTTGGGAAAGTGTTACAAAGCTTTCTTAGCTCTGCTAGTAAGTGCCCACGGGTACCTCAGTCTGCCAGCATGCCTTGGCCTGAAGTGCCCAGCTAGGTCTGCTTATGAGTGCCAGGAGACACCCCACTCTGCTAGCAAACCTATTGCCTGAAGCCACTCAGCTCTCTCTCTCCTTGGGCTGCCTCCTGCCAGCTCCTTGTTCGGTTTCCTCTTCTGCTGTCATTTCTCTGCTGCAGCTTTCTGTTATCTTTTGCTGCCTTTAGTATTACAACTCTCTGTCACCTGGGTCTTGGAAGTTCTCAGTGCAGGGATTCCAGGTCCAAAAGATGCGCTTTGTCCCTGGTTTTTTTTTCTTGGTGTTGTCCTCTCTGTTGGCTTTTCTCTCCATTTCTTTTTTGTAGGATAAAAGATGCAGAGGTAGTGAGTTGAGTGCATCTCACCCTAATCTTGCCTCACTGAGCTATCAAACATATGCTAATCTAATCCTCATTAACACATCATAATCTTGATGAATTAACACGTGCTGTTGTTAGGTGCTGTTGGTTGAATTGGTTCCAATTCATAGCGAACCTGTATAGGGTTTCTGAGGCTATGTATCTATGGGAGCAGAAGGTCTCATCTTTCTCCCGAGGAACAGCTGGTGGTTAGAACTGCCGACCTAGAGGTTAGCAGCCCAGTGCTTCCCCTCCAGTGCCACCAGCAATCCTTAATTAACACATAGAGGTCAGGATCGATAGCTCACATAATGTGGGATACTTACATCAGATCACAGAGTGGAGGATGACCACACTGTGCTAGGAATGAGTATAACCCCAACCATCCTAGATTCCATATGTTTTATTTGCATGGTCCCACCCAATCATCATGTGGGAGTCGTTATTAAGGGCCAACAAGTCAATTCTGACTCTTAGTGTCCCTGTGTGGTGTTCTGAGGAGCACTTGGTGAGTTTGAACCTCTGGCCTTGTAGTTCAAACTGACTTTGTGGTTCAGTGCTTATCCTTCAGCGCCACTCAACTGCTTTGGGGAGTCAAGGGCCAGCTTAAGTAATTCACTGTGCTGCACATACTCAGAGTGTCTAGAACTTCTCTCCTCCCAATCCCCAAACTGACAGAAAATCTGATATGAATATTTGACCTTTAGAGATTTTCTCCATGGGCTCTGTAGGAACACAGTGCTGGAGTGATCATGCCGTCTGAACTGTGCTGATGTGGTGTTTCCAGACACTGATGCACAACTGCCCCACGCTTTCTTTCCTCCTCTGTCTGCTTGCACGATGAGCTCACCCTCTCTTGCTCTGGATGTGGACTCGCTCGAAAGTATTGCTTGTCTCACCATTGCCTTAATACGCACTTTGACAAGCGTTCTCCTGAGCCTTGCTCAGAGAGGAGGCCACTGGCGTGGTGCCTGCCCTCTAGGGTAAGCTGTCTCCTTTTGGAATCATAGAATCAAGATGGGCTGTGAGTGAACAGACTATGGGATATGCGATAACTCCCACCTTATGTACTTGAGGGGTAGAACTGACTTGTCCCACCCAGTCCAGCCCTCGAGGAACTTCTGGTTGAGGAATGGGCACTGGAATGGCTTATAAACAATGCACAGCCATGTCTTGTAACAAGATGAGTGCTGTGGGACCCAAGCCCAGGAGTGTGTACTGTGAGCCTGGAGTCATGATGAGTCTTCTAGAGGAAACAGGGTTTGACTGGAACCTTAGGGATGTGAGTAGCTGGGAGCCAAGAGGGAAGGTATTAACCAGTGCTGCATAAACCAGTCACAAGGTTATAGATTCTTTATAGGCCAGTATTCTGGTCTTGATCACCTTTGTACACTGCTCAGGTGGATCTGGTTGGTATTTAACAAATATATTTTGTATAGAGTAAAGCATTTGGGAGAACGGGGTCCAGATAAAGGAAAGAATTTCTCTCAGTATCAGCCTTCTAAGCCCCTTAATTTCTGGGGTCCTCAGTCAGTTCTAACAAGGTAGGTTTCAGGCTAGATAATCCCCAACAATCCTCTCTGAGCCTCTCATTCTCTGATTCACCAAGGATAAGGAGACTTTTTCTGGACTTTTGACTAGGAGACCCAGACTCAAAATGTATGTTGTTAGAGTAGGTCAGTACTTAACTATCACATGAGGTTGATTTGTGATACAGAAAGGGTGAATGAATCCAACATCTAACCACAATATCCAAGCCAACAGCATCTATTCAACTAGTGCTAGTCAAGGCCCTGGAGTTACGATGAATAGGCAGGAACAGCCCTTACTCTTACAGAGCTTACATGCTAGTGATGGGGAGATAGTACATAAACAAGGGAAAGAAATGTGCAAAATAATTTGGATGGTGGTTTGTTATAATCAATGCTTGAGAATTCCTGATAGGTGGGGGTGACTTGAGATTGGGTTTCTCTGCAGAGGTCGAAGCCAGCTAAGTTAAGGTCTTGGGCAGAGCATCTTAGGGGTGGGACTGTCCACTTCCCCAGACCTCCCAGCCAGAGCGCAGAGGAATACAGTATTTGATGCATGGGCAGTAAGCCTCCTCCCCTTCCCCTTGGTTCACAGACAGCTGTCATCAGTTACGACTACCTCACCTCCCTGAGGAGTGTTCCCTATGGCTCAGAGGAGTATCTGCAGCTTCGATCCAAGGTAAGGAACCAGTGGGACAGCCAGGACATGACTGGGTATGTCCTGAAGTGGCTGCAAAGCTTCTTGTGTGCAGTTGGAGGTGGGCAGGGTTAGGGTTTGGGAGGAAGGTGGGGAGGGTCACCTCCTTATGTGTGGAGGAGTTTTAGTGCCAATGGGCTGGGCTGCCAGGCCACGGTGATCCCACGGTGCTGAGGTTATTCATCCAGAAGAGGCTTCCCAGGGAGGCTGGCATATTTTTCTGGGGGAGAGCAAGTCTCTGGGGTGACTCAGGAGGGATGGAGGCTCTGTCTGTGAGATAACTGAGCTGGCTTCCAAACTGCTTTGTCAAGTAAAACCCAGTTGAAAGAGGTTAATTGCTTTCCTGTTGTCTGAAGGCCACCCTGAGGCCTCTGGCAGGTCTGAGTGGAGTTGTCCATCACACACTCTCATCCCTCATTTAGAGACAGATTGTTGATCTCGATGCAGCTTCAGGATGTCCCAGGGAGTTGGGAGATCAAGCAAGAGGGCAGGCACTTTTGTGGTGTGTATGTTGCGTTTGGGGTCAAGTGTAGATACCTTTGATCCCTCCAGCGAGAAGTTGGTGCCTTTGCTCGGCCAGTCCCCTCAGCCTGGAATGCCCTTCACCATGTAGGAAATCCTGAGTCATTCCTGTGGACTCAGCTTTGACAACTGCCCCTTGGTGAAGATTTCCTTGTGGCATTATTACTTTTTACTTTTTTGTTTAAGCTTTTCATTACGCAATTTTCAACTGTCTATGGGAGTAGAAAGGCTATCTTAAGTATAATGAATCCCATTGGAACTGTCATGAAGATTCAGAAATTATAAAAAATTGTTATTTTTTTTTATCTACTCTCTCATTCACTCATTTATTATTTTTCTGTTGAGATATTTCAGAGTAAGCTCCAGTCATCCTATAATTTCATTTGTAAATACTTCAGTGTGTGTTTCTAATAATGTTGTTATGAAGGGCCATCAAGTAGCAATGGCGCCGACTGCATAGGGTTTCCAAGGAACAGCTGGTGGGTTTGGACCACCGACCTTGTGGTTCACAGCCCAATGTTTATCTTACAGTGCCATGCCAGGACTCCTCTAATAGATAAAGCCCTTTAAAATATGTGAAAAATAAGATGAACTCATCTTTATGGCTCAATTTTCAACCAAACAATAGACAGGTCTGTAGAGAGAACAATAGTATTGGGAAACTATATATACCTTAGAATAATTAATCATTTGAGATATAAAGGACAAACATTTACCTAAGGACAAAATTTGGAAGGATAAGAAAAGAAGGAGAGATGGCAACATGAAAACAGGGAGGAAAAGGGAGACGAGATGTTTTTACTGTGGGAATTACAATTAATGAGATGAAACAAAATATGTATGCATTGTTGAATGGAAAACTGATCTGCTCTGTAAATCTTCACCTGATTCTCAATAAAAAGGAATAAAAAAAGAAAACTCAAACAACCCTTAACCACAACACCATGACTGTACCTAACAGAAGTCACCATGTGTTGGTATCCTCTGATAGTTAATCCATGTTCAGATTTCCTTGTTGTCTCAAAATGTCTAGTTTTATTGTGAGTTTGTTCAATTCTGGCTCCAAATAAGAAAATGACGTTGCGTAGTGTGAGGTTTCCTGTATTTTGAAAAACTGTAATGATGCCATTCCTTTTTTTTTTTCCCTTTGAGTCATTTGTTTATTGAAGAAACCAGATAATTTATTCTTTGGAATTTTCCCCATACAGGATTTGACTGATTGCATCCTGAAAGTGTTATTTAATGAGCAATAGAGTCACATGGTTCAAAATAGATAATATTCAAAATAAACCAAATCACATGTCTTCCCTCTGTTTCTCAGGTACCCAATTTTCTTGCCTGGAGCAATCATTATTCTTGTGTTTCTACCTAGAGATGTCTTCCTATTTGAATTGAATCTCTCTATCTTCTTTATTCCCACCACACGTGATGGTTGGATACCTATCTTTCTTTCTCTCTCTTTAGATTTTAGAAACCCTGGTATTAAAATGACAGAGCCCGTAGCTGCTAACGGAAAGACTGGCAGTTTGAACCTTCCCAGTGGCTCTGAGGGAGAAAGACTTGGTGATCTGCTCCCGCAAAGATTATTAGCCTGTCACATGGTGTCACTATGAGTCAAAATCGCTTTTTGACACCCCCAAACAGCAAACAATCAACAATCGGTTCCTTTAGTTCAGGAACTGGGTCTTTTTTTGTGTGCATGTGCCTTGTACCTCTAGTGGTGATAGCCAGGAATTGAGCTGATTTAATGTCATGTTTTTATGCTAGGCAGGACCTTGTTGGCTTTTTACCTTAGAGAAGCCCCAAAAAGGGTGTAAGGCTTGTAGTTGAAAGACCAGAGTTGGTGCTTTAGCTTCTAGCAGGCTACCTTTAAAGCTGCCATTTTCTTTGTCTGTAAACTAGAGATAGCAGTATCCTTTGTTGTTGTTAAGTGCCATAGAGTCAGTTCCAACTCATAGTGATCTTATATAGGGTTTCCGAGGAGTAGCTGGTAAGGCTGAACCACTGACCTTGCAGTTCAAACTGACCTTGCAGTCCAGTGCATTAACCCACAGCGCCATACCAGGACTCCATCAATACCCTTTACTGAGGATTACATAGGTAATTTTGGAGACAGTGCCTTGTGTTATATATGAAAAGAAAACAAAGCAATGCTAGTTGCCCTCCAGCCCATTCTGACACATGGCCACCCTGTGTGTGCAGAATAGAACTGCTCCATGGGGTTTTCAGAGCTGTGACCTTTGGGAAGCAGATCTGCAGGCCTGTCTTCCATGGCACCTCTGAATGTGTTTGAACTGCCCACCTTTTTGCACCACCCAGATACTTCTTGTGGAATGTAAATCAAAACCAGACCCACTGCCATCAAGCTGATACGGACTCACAGCAGCCCTGCGCAGGGCTTCTGAGACTGTAAATCTTTACTGCAGCGGACAGTCTTGTCTTTATTCCAAGAACAGATGGTGGATCTGAACTGTCTACCTTGCACTTAGCAATGCAGTGCTTATCCTGCAGCACCACACTAGAGCTCCTTGTGGAATGTAAAGCAGGTATTAAAACTCAGTCTGATGTCTGCTAGAGGGTGTGTTCCATGAGGACAAGAACTCGGTCTTTGTTAAGTACCTCTGTGTCCCCAGCCCCTAGAAGAGTACATAGTAGGTACAGAGTAAAGTTTATGAATCAATGAAGGAATGAATGAATGGTTAGTTTTTATCAGAGGATCATAAAACACGTGCCTTTGGAGCTTGATACCCCTTCTTCTCCCCCAGCCATTCTCTCTGTGTCCCTCTGTAACCAGTGTAGTAGTCCTGGGAGACCATCAGAGTGATGTCCTCCAGAGGAGTCCAGGCTAGGGCCCAGGGCAAGCTCTCTGCCTTGGGAATTGAAGAGCAGCTGGGATGGGGAGTAGGGGTTATAAAGACAATTGCCCTTTACCTATAAGTCACCTGATAGCAGTGGTGTCAACATTCCTGGAGCAGTTGACAGTTTTGGGTGATCCAGCAAGGAAACTTTCATCTGGCTACTTGACAGGAGGGTAGTGTGTGGTGTTTAACACCCAATAACAAAGTGATTTCAAACCTGGGGTATAGGCTGGTCCCAGGGATTGTGCCTGAGAATGGGCCGGCAGGCGGGCACTAACGAACATGAGCAGCTACTGCAGGAGTGCTTTCTTCCATCTGAGTGTGGATTCGTTCCTGTCAGCAAGGCTGATAAGGGAGTGAGCATCATCATTATTGCACCTGTCAAGCCAGCAGCTCCCAGCCCGGGACTATGTCAGAGCCAGAAGACTAGCTTCCAGGGCCCGTGACCTAGAGAAGCTCTTCCAAGGTTGGCGTTGGCAGGCCAAGATCCCAGTGACACAGCTCTGTAGAAAGGGGACTTTGGAGGCAACATGAAGAAGTGTTTTCTGGGGGGCACAGTGGTACTTTGCTAGACAGCAGGGGTATGGAATGGGGCCCTGAGGTTTTGGAGAACCAGACTCTTGGTGCTCAGGATGCTGACAAAGTAGAGAGGATGTGAGCTGGCCTTTTGGTAAAACAGAAACAAGTTCAGTGCTGATACAGGTGTTCAGCAATGGAGCAGGCAGGGCTGAGTTACTCTGATTGAGGCTTGCGGTGTGGTGGACATCTGTTAACTTCGCAGGTCAGGAGCCATTTCATTCTGTTTTGGAAAGAACAACATTGAAGCTTTCCTTTAGGGAACTACTTGATATCATGTACACTCCATGAGGTGTGGATAGCACTCATCCCACCTTCATTGCCAAGGCCGAACTTGTGACCTAGCCAAGAGATAAGTGGAATCTTTTCCTCTGGCCTGAGAAATTGACCCAAGGATGGGTACTGCATCCAGTTCTGGCTAGTAAGTAGCAGGTCCAGAATTTTTTTAAGAAGTAACTCCTCTCTCTTTTCTGCTGGGTTAGCTAAGAGTAGGATGTTGGCTTAGAACTGTTGGCAGCTATCTTGCCACCATGAGGGAGAGTCTGCCTGTGGATGGAGCCAGTATTGCAGAGAGGTGCGGCATTTGAGCACCCTAGGTCTAGTTGAACCTGTTACCTGCCTACGGAGTCCTGGTGGTACAGTGGTTAAGATCAGGTGCTGTCAACTTTTAGAAACATGGGATGTGACATAGTGTTTTGGGGGAAAGGAACTCCATTTCTGACAAGTGGATGTTGTTTAGAGGAGTGTTGAAGGTGGAGTGGCAGGAAGATGACTGTATAGCCATCACACTAGACTTGAGAAAGACATCTTAGCCATCATCTTGCTCAAGCCCCATGGTGTGCAGCCCCCTACAAGTGTATGACAGATAATTGACTTGATTTTGGACACTAAGAACTCATCCAATCTCATATTTTTTGTATTTTATACTTCGTTGCTTCCTTGTTTCACCAGTTCCAAGCTTGGTGGAAAATATCAAGTTGGATAGAAAGTTGTTAGAAACAAAGATTTCTATGTAGCAGCTTTTGC